TCAGTAACGTATATAAACATACACTGTCTTAATATCAAAGACGTCTGGATCGTAACGTATATAAACATACACTGTTCTAATATCAAAGACGTCTGGATCGTAACGTATATAAACATACACTGTCTTAATATCAAAGACGTCTGGATCGTAACGTATATAAACATACACTGTCTTAATATCAAAGACGTCTGGATTGTAATGTATATAGACATACACTGTCCTAATATCAAAGACGTCTGGATCGTGACTTTTATATATTTGCAAGTTATTTTTTATTCAACTGATGTTGATGACCTTGAATTAAAGTGAAATCAACAAAGTGTTTCTGAGTTGGAGTGTGCTAGTTAAATTAAAAGAATGAAAGTTTGAACTGCTTTGTTGTATGCTCTAATTTTATTTGTAGTAGTATCTTTTAATTACTCTATTTAATGATTAATAAATTGTTCGTTTAACCTGATATTTAATTTTCTTAGTTTCGCTGTGATAATTTTCATTTGCATTAATTATCTGCGTTTTATTGATGTTATCGAATTGTGTTCTCATAACACAGTAATATCTGTTTAAATATTTATGCCGTGTTTTTACTAAATCGTTTCAATTGTGTTGATTTTTAGTATTTGATTTGTTATAAAGTTGGTTCTCGTCCAACTGTGCGCATGTGTGCATTGCATAGAGATCGATTCAGTCGAGTCTGCATAAATTCAAGTAAATGTCTTCGCGTCTGATTTGCAGTCAGTTTTACTGCGCACTATGCACATTTCAATACAACTTGAAACTAAAAGACCCCAAAATATTACCAATTAAAACGCTGTCAACAAATCTCTTTGACAATTAAATGGGCTAGTAATTGCTTATATGTGTTTTACTCCAGATGATCCCATCCAAATGTATCAAACAATTCACATCGTACACCTTTAATCGATTACGTCCCATTAATGACGTCATGGTGCACCTGAAAAAACGACTGTGACAACAACGATAAGATCTAGCATGACGCGATAGTGGGTCAGACACTTTACCTTTTTGGTCACTTACAGTTTTGACTCGCGGATTCAAGACTTGAAATAGGGAGTTTTATTTTACGATTTTATTTTTTAATTTTCGTTCAGTTCAGTTCAGTATAAGTTTAATGTTTTTACTCGAAGTTAGAGCTGTCTGTTTCTTGCACGCACACTGCACGTATATCTGATAGGCTAGTGTACACATTCGACTATAGGGATGATAACCGAAATATTTTCTGTACAAATAGGTTGTTATGTAATGTAATGTGAACCGTGGCGATTCGTTAGGATTAAATTTAGTCGTCCGCCGAAAAAAAAATTCAACGTAAACTCTAAGGTCATCGATTTCGGTCTCATATACCCGCGAGAGCGTTGAGTAGCCAAAAATAGTTGTTTAAAATAATTGTTCATGAGAAAGCTGACATTATTTTCACTATGTTATTAGCTATGGGAAGACGAGATGCTGTCATGGAACGAGTCAGAATATGGAGGAACACGCAGTCTCAAGATACCCTCAGATCTAATATGGCTACCGGAAGTCGTGCTATATAATAAGTAAGACTACCGTTCAAATAAAAACACGTGTTTGTGAGGGCAATATAACGATTTGTTGCCTGCCCATGGGGTGATAAGATGATGGCGAGGGCATCATCAGTATTATGGTCATTGAAATCGTGACTTGCCCGAACGACACTGTGTTCCTAACTCACATCCAAAAGCTCCCCCCCCACACACACACACATACGTTTTTTCTTGCGAACGCAGCATTCCACCTATTTCAAAGACTCCTAGCTATTCTAGAAATGTTCGTTTGTCTTGCGATTTGTTGATAATTTCTCAAATAAAGTGAATTCCAATTAGATCCAAACACCCATTGCTTCGTACATTATGTGTATGGTGGAAACTAAAAGAAAAATAAGCACATGGGAAGATCCGTTATGTTTATTTCTTTTACGGTGTCTATCCCATTTAGTGCTAAACACAAGATATTTCCAAACAGTCGCAAATGATAACAAATGCTACATTGACTCAGTTTCAATATTAACACAAATTGAATAACTTAAATCTGACCTTCTATGTGAAACACCTAAATGTATTGAAATATTTAAATTTTTGTCAATTACGGACAACACACCTAGTTGCATATGTCTGTTTGCCATTCAATGGTGATGACTAATTTAGTATGTTTTTTGTTCGAGTAATCGGATGACACACCAAATTAAACATGTCTATTTATGCAAATATGTACGCCGAAACGTATAAATGAACATATTATCGTTCTGCAAAATAAAAAAAATCGCGCGCATCTAGAGATAACGTCGGTGGGAATACAATGATCGCAAACGTGTCTGCGATAGCGAGAAATCGTTCGGCAAAAAAAAAAAAATGGAACGTAACCTTTACCGGTCGCAATGCCACGATTTTGTTTGTATTTGCGCAAAGTCAATCTATTTAAAAGGTACAATTGTAAAGGTTTTCGAAGACATACAAATAACCTTCATAGCGCTATTAAAAACTACTCCACCCTCCAAATTGCGGTGGAAATCGGAAGCGAACCGCTTAGACATCCAAGTGTACCCCGGTCCATACGAGACACTTGCTAGCAATATACATTTAATGGGGAAAATTAACAATGACAGATTTATCGAAATGAACATTACAATGATCATCAACAACACGCCTGCACGTGTTGATTTATTGCTGCGTCGTGCGTCGTGTCGAAGAACGTGACAATAGCCTGATGTTATATCATAATTAGAGTAAAAAATAAACCGACATAGTTTCCTCACTTCAGGGTCATCCACAAAATTATAAAACAATGTAATTACGTGAGATATATAATATTGCATATAGTTGAAAAGGCGATTATGCAAATTTCCAATTGTTATATATTGCAAATGACTATTGACACCATTATAGTGACATAGGCCGGAGTGAAGTATATCTGGTACTCGATGTCCTTGACTGAAGTGACGATCTTGCGCCAGTAACCAGCTGTCACATGAATGGTCTACTAATCCTACTCTATAATACTAGTATAGAATTTATTGTCATAATATGTTGTACTAATATCTCTAAATGCTCGCGATGGGTTATAATTTTGTTTGAAAATGGTGTTAGTACGTTGATGAGTGCTAATAAAACGTCACTGTGACAATTTCCTCGGGGAAATAAAGAAATAAATTAATTTAAATGCTAGATGGTAATTAATTAAATTGAAAACCAATTAAATGTGTTTGCCGTTTTGCTGCAGTGCCGATGACAAGTACGACAGTTTCGTGAAAGAACAAATTGCGGTGATATATTCTAATGGTGACGTCATGTGGGCGGCGCCGGTAATATTCCTGAGCAACTGCCAGGTTGATGTGACCTACTTCCCGTTTGACAGTCAACAGTGTCAATTGAAGTTTGGGCCATGGCAATATGATGGCAATGAGTTGAAAGTAAACGGTACAGGTTTGTAGTAATTTAAGTTAATTTTGATGAGTTAGTACGGTTTTAGATTCCAAAATAGGACATTGCATTTTTTGGACGGAAGAGGGCGCAATGTAGATTCAAGACTTGGCCTGCTCACATTAGTCATTGCATCACATGTTAATGTTGCGTTGAAATTCAAAATCAGCAATCAGTCGTAACGCTGAGGGCGTTAATAACGTCACATCGCCAGAAGATGGTGCAAGCGTCACAAATTAAATCCTTGTTTATTGTATTACAGGGGATGCTAGTGTGTTTACCAGTGACGGGGAGTGGGACATGCTGGGACTGATTGCCACCAGCAATGTCGAATATTATCCAGATCATCCAGGTGTTCCATATTATGACGTCACCTACACGTTATACATACGACGTCGCCCAGTTTACTTCATTTTTAACTTGATTGTTCCCTGTGTGATACTGGCTGCTTTATCTTCCTTGACGTTTTTATTGCCACCGGAATCTGGTGAAAAGATCAGTTATGGTATATCAGTGCTGTTGGCATTAACAGTGTTTTTACTGTTAATGGCAGAATCTCTACCGCCCTCCAGTGTTATACCGTTAGTTGGTAAGCAGTCTTTCGTTTACAACATTTCGGAATTTAAAATGCTTGTTCTCGTGACAAATATGAAGATTATCAGCGGCCATCTCTTCTACGAGTGTATTGTAAATAATAAACATCGACCCGTATTAAATATTCACCGTCGAGAACGTCACTGTCATGAAAGATCCAATAGTTTTGAAAACAAAAACACTTAAAATTTTAATACGGGATTTTGTTTTATTAACACGAGATCCCGTCAACGTGCTTTTGTATATTTTAGATATGATGCCAGGTGTTTTTATTTGTTTTGCAGGTCAGTATCACGCCGCCACAGTAGTCTTGGTAACAATGTCGCTGATTACTTCAGTAATAGTTATCAATACGCATCATCGTGGGGGCGCTGGTGATCCTCTGCCGCCATGGATGCGTAGGTTTATACTTGGTTATATGAGTAAAATCGTCTTCTTTAAATACAAAGATCTTAGGCAGCCTCGTTCCAGGAAACTAAATCTTAACAGTGGAAGAAGTCCTTCTTGTCTTAGATACATCGAATGCAATAACGATCGGCAGTCTAATGGCGTGTCGAATAACCCCGACAACAAAGGTCAGCAAATGTCACAGCGCGATTCGCCCACAATGCGACTATTGGTCAAAGAAGTTCGTAAAATTGCAACATTTTTGGAAGACAATAAAAAAGACGACGAGATGAAACACGAATGGATGACAGCAGCAGTGGTGCTTGATAGGTTCTTTCTTATGTTGTACATCTGTGCCAGTATCTCTACTGTATTGGTCATAGCTGCCCGCGTAGACTGGACAAGTATGCTTTGACGCTGGATAAATGAACCAACAGTGTGGTTGACTGTCTGTTGGTATGACCATTGATACGAGAGTCGTACCACGTGTGAAATGTACGTACCGATGTCTGCAATAGCAAACCTGCATATCGAGAGTATATTGGGTACAATATAACGTTCTCAGTGTATGTGGCATGGCGGACTGTGTCCTTCGGCATAAATAAGATGAACGACAGTGCCGTCTCTGTGTGTAAGTCTAAATTTAATTCTGCGTGTGAGTACACGACTAAACACGTGTATATGCAATGAGCTGACCTGAGTGTTCATTTCCCATTGCCGGATCACGGACTCAATATTACCCTTGCTGGTGTGTGTATTCAGCTCAGCTTCTTGTGTGTTGCTATGGTGACCCGCTCAGGTAATCGTGGAACTAAGTGGCTATGTATCCCTAAAATTACTGAAACTAGATGTCAGGTGTTTCTAGGAGTTGTTCTAAATCTCAAGTCTGTTTGTGATACTTTTGTTAGCATATGTGAATATTAGTGAGTTGTGTTGATGTGTCAATTTTATTGAACTGCATCTTTCTTTCCGTGTGGATGATATGAATATGTATACTTCTTACAAATAGATATATACTAGTTAACAATAAACATAAAAATAATAATTATATATTTTTATTTCGATGCAACCAATACAAGTGTGACTTTTTATATGAATTAAACTGTGGGCCTTCGAACCCTTCTAGCTGATGTTTATTCTGTGTAATTTTGATAATATTCGATTTTGTTGTGTTTTGTGAGAGAGTATGTGTATGTGTAGTAGAGTTACATTATGTCAAGGTCACGTGTTCGTAGACACTAGAGCTGTGAAGTGTACCTGTCTGTTGTCACGAAAACTAATGTATCGTATAGTTTCAAAGTTTGTCGAAATTTTATTTTGCCGAACTTCGCTGCGTATCCAATGTTTTCTAACCTCTTGTTTATCATACACCAATAAAACAGAGAATTCTATAAGATAATTTGTACCAAGTTTTGTTAAGTAGTTAGTAATAGATAATAATGTTAATTGTTCGCCATTGGAAGAAAGAAAATATGCATTTTCAACTTGATCGTCACCGCAAATATAGAGTCAAATTACTATATTTACGTAATCAGAAGGCATATATAGTCCAGCAAAATTTTGATAATGTTTGCCATGTTTTTGAGACCAGAAATGTATATATTTTGGCCACAAAATATTTTGTGTTTTCAATATCAAAGCTAAGAACAATGCTAGGTCAATTAGCACAAAAAATCTAGTGTCAAACACTTTACAGAGTACTCATTTTTATTGTCCTCAGTGATATTCCTTGTGCGCATTAAATGGCTATTTCGTGTGAATAATCTATTTTGAAGAAAAATTATATCTGCACTTGGTTTGTTTTTACGAAATAATTATTTTCTATTAAGGTGACACATTTTAAAATTCTTCTCGGAACTCTAGTCTCACTGGTTACCCGCAATGCAATATTTACTACGTATAGGTTACTTTTCTGTTAATATTCGCTAATTCCCCATGTTTCAACATACATTCGAATATGCCTAGCAACCACCAAACCATAAGAAGGGTGTTCACGGTCGCAGTAGAGAAATCGCCGTAACTCGTAAACTTACAATAAATGGCTGACCACATCTGATGAATGATTGACAATTATTGATAATTAAATCATTGATCTAGGTAATGTACAAACATAGCATGCCATACTGTAATTAGTCGTGAGAATCGTTGATAGTTATGCTGTATTTTCGTATGACATGCGCCCCCCGTCTTCCGATGGTTTATTACAATAGACGCGATAAGTTTTGTTTACAGTTTGCATATTAAGCTCAAACTAAAAAATAAAAAATGATGGTACAGCTCGTAAAAGTGTTCAAATGAGAACAACGTAATAAAGAAA